TAATAAATGGCGGGAACAAGGGGCTGTCTCTCTCCCTTCGCTGGTCTCTCTCTCTCTCTCTCTCTCTCTCTCCTCTCTCTCTCTCTCTCTCTCCTCTCTCCTCTCTCTCTCTCTCTCTCTCTCTCTCTCTCTCTCTCTCTCTCTCTCTCTCTCTCTCTCGCTCTCTCTCTCTCTCTCTCTCTCTCTCTCTCTCTCTCTCTCTCTCTCTCTCTCTCTCTCTCTCTCTCTCTCTCTCTCTGTAAATTGTGTATCAATTAACTTATCAAAGTAAAAGACGTCTAGTTTTCTTTCCCTCCTTCCCTCCGCATCTTTCCCTTGAATCATTAATGTTTCTGATTTAGTGTTTTCATATGTATTAACCTATTCTGTTATTTGTGGTATTTTATCTCAACACCTCAAAATTCACTGCAGAATATGCATCAATGGTAGAAATTTATTAACTATAAACATCAACAGTATAGAAGGATACTCCCGCGTCCAAAAAGATTCTTAAATAAATATGGACAAACCGTAAAACTAACCTATGAACAAACCAATCAAGAAACAAGACAACCACGACCTATTAATAACTATAATCAATATAGAAATACTCAGTGTAAGAGATAATATCCTGTGTTTTCAAAGAAATACTGTAATGCGCTTAAAAGAAAATAAGCAAAAATGAAAAAAAGCATAAATGCTAAACTGATTCGAATTAAGAAGATGTCAGAAAAAAAAAACCCATGTTGGAAAGAAAATAAAAGGGAAGAAAATAAAATTAAAAAGAAAAAAATAAGATTGAACTAAGTAAAATATAAGACATGAGATACCTAATCTCCAATGTAGTAACATTTACACAAAAACGATGTATGCAAAACTAAATAGAAAAAAAGTACATCATAAATCAAAATAACCACAAATACACAATAAGAAGATACAAATAAAAACTAGAAAGCACTCACCCATTCTGGCCAGGCAAAAGTAAAAAATTCACGACGGAAAATAAACACTACTTAATCTTAAGGAGAGTAAACAACCATAATTGTTACACTGACGTCCGATGTTTTCCCATCTGCAATGCTAATGAGATCTTTAATAAAAAATATAAAGAAAAAATCCACATGCCAAATCCATCAAAATACCAGAATCATCAACAACACAAGAGATAAATAGGGAAAGAACGTAAGCTGATGAGATAAAGTTAAGACAACCTCTGAATAAGGATAAAATTTCATGAAAATCTGATGGAAAAACTGAACATTGTTGGATCTTGAAATTCACATTGAATCTCAAAGTCGAAATCTAGTATCCTGGAGCTTATCTCACCAAATCAATACAACTTCAAAAGTCCTATTTTGAACAGAGTAGCATATGATCCCAACCCATAGTATGCTATCTCTCCACAGAAAGAACTACCTTGCTTCTAAAGATTGATATAGCGACATGAAAACGCCTCATTCCTCGTATATCTAATAAGGTTGTGTACCCTGCGTTTTATGATTTCTATATTGATAGAGAGAGATAAGATGACATGCGCACCGAATAAGACTTTTTTCTTTCCCACTCACTTTGATTTCATCGAGTCATGAGACAAAAATTGTTAGAGTAATACTGAAGAGAGTTAGATGAGAGAACTGAGTTGAGATCGACAACCCCCAACGACGCAGACGAGTGAGAGAGACAGAGAGAGAGACGAAGAGAGAGTGACGAGACTCCCCGTCTCTCCCGAGAGACCGACCCGCCAGACAGAGCGAGAGAAAAAGAGAGAGACGTACGACCCGACCAATGCAAATGAAATTATTTAAGCGGGCATGAAAATGTGTGTGTGATGAAAAGGGGAAAAGAGAGAGGAAGAGAGAGCAGAAGATGAAGAAGAGAGAGAAATGAAAAGTAGAGATAGACAGATAGAGAGAGAAATGATTACGAAGAATAGATAGAGATAAATATAGCTAGACAAATTATAAAATGAGAGAAATGAAAAGATGAGAGAGGAAAGCGATAAGGTGATATAGAAATAGATAGATAGATAGACAGAGAGAGAAATAGAATGGGAATGAGAAAGAGAGAGAGATATGAAAAACACAGATAGATAAAGATAGATAGAAAGAGAGTGAATGGGGAATGGGAAAGAGATAGTGATAAATAGATAGATAAAGAGAAAGAGGGAGAGAGAGGGAGAGAAAGAGAGAGAGAGAGGAATATGAGAAAGAAAATGTGTGTGTGTGTGTATGTGTGTGTAATGGAAAAGATTCTAAGATTTTTTTAAAGATTTAGTTTTAATTCTTTGCTGTGAGAGAGAGAGACACACAGAGAGAGAGAGGGAGAGAGAAAGGAGAGAGAAGGAAAAGGAGAGAGAGACAAAGAGAATGAGAAAGAAAGAGAGAGAAAGAGAATGAGAAAAAGAGTTTTTTATTTTGCTCCAAATCTCCCCTTTGTGCAAGGAATGGCCTGTGTTACCATCCACTGGAAGCATACAAAAGACAGGAGAGAGAGGGGGAGGAGGGAGAGGAAAGAAGGGGAGGAAGAGGAGAGGAAGGAGAGAAGTGAGTGAGTGAGAGAGAGAGAGATGAAAAGGAGAGAAAAACTAAAAGAGAAAATGGAATGAGGGAGGTTTAGATAGATAGAGAGTGAGTGAGTGAGAGAGAAAAGAGAGTGTCAGATTTTTGTTTTGTTTGACTTTGGTGGGTTATGGATACCGTTCTGATTTCTTTCTTTATTGGTTGAAGTGGCTGGTAGCGTGGCATGGCTATGTCTTGTGCGGTGCAGTTGTGGGCAAGGGGAGCCCAAGAGGCGCGCCGAGCGAGGCGCGCGTGGGGAGAGACTCCCAGAGGGAACCGTCCAGGTCAGCCCGTGACCCGATATCGAATGTCCTGGAGCTTTCAAAGAGTGGTCGGGAGTCCCTAGTGTTTGGGGACGTGGGTAGGTAATCCTTCGAGAGAGAGAGAGAGAGAGAGAGAGAGAGAGAGAGAGAGAGAGAGAGAGAGAGAGAGAGAGAGAGAGAGGAAGAGAGAAATGAAAAGAGATAGAGAGAATGAAAAAAAGTGATACTGTGATACAATGATAGATAAATAGAGAGAGAAAAAAGGACAGAGAATAAGAGAGAGATTGAGAGAAAGAGAGAGAGAGATGAATTAAAAGGAGAGATAAATAAAGATAGAAAAAATGAAAAAGAGAGTCTGAAACCACACCTGGTCGAGGGATGAGAGCCCGTCTCATCCCTCTGGACGTTCCACAGACCTGCCCGATTTCAGAGACTCTGACTAGGACTTCGAGAAGGACTCCGACCCCGACAGCAGCAGAAGGAGCCTCGCTACAACCCGCTGCGACGCCGCCTGTGTCTCGGTGATGGTGCACCCGCACTCAGTAAGAATATATTTGAGAGAGATGGAAAGGAGGAGAGAGAGAGAGAAATGAGAGAGAAAGAGAAAGAAAATGAGAGAAAGAGAAAGAGAGAGAAAGAGTGTGTCACGGTGGTGGTGAACCTACACTCAGTAAGAATATATTTGCATATGCACCTGTATTTCTTTTTTCAGATTTGTCCTTATATTTTGTAAAAGTGTTATTCAGACTCTACGCTTTCCTTATCCAGCTTTCATTTGCTCTTTCAGACAGTTTTTGATTGTCTACAAGACCTACATCAAGGGTCTCAGTTATAATAATGTTAATACTTGTGTTTTTACACTGCAGACGAATAAGTTCTGTATGAAAGAATCTATCTGAATCCGTTAAGATTTTATTTGTTTGAGTGTTCAATCTGCTTTGGAAGTTGTCTTAGTTAAAGAACTAGAAGAGATGTTCATATATTTCTATTTTCTAATACATGCCTATAATTTCTAGAGATTTATATAATGATAGGGATAACTCAAATACAAGTTGCAAGTTTTGATATTTTTTTTACCTTTTTACATGCATGACTCCTTTTTTATGTTTTTTTTTTTTTTTTTTTTTTTTTTTTTTTTTTTTTTACCGATACTTATCAACAATATATACAATAAATATCCTATCAAGAAACTGCGACGGTCGATTTCAAAATTCAGTTTCGTCAAACACTTGGAAGATCTACAGTATGGAACCGATATTAAGTCTGCAAAAGAGAAGCAACAATCGATTTCCAAATCCAGTTTTCGCGCTGACGTCGGACATTTGGAAGAGCAAATGCGCTTCTCAGTTGTCGAAAGTGAGGACGTAACCGACCTTGTGTGGGTTCTTAGTGGCGTCGTACTGACGCAGCTGGAATCCTGGTCCGGAGGTTGACCTGAATCCTCCGGCGGATGAAGAGGACGTGGAAGCAGCAGCAGAAGGATATCTCGGGGACGACGCAGTACTAGCGGTGTAAGTGGAAGGGCTTGAGGGCGAGTGTAATGTTGGAGCTGAGGAGGAAGGGGACGAGGAGCGGAAGGGCGAAGCACCACGAGACGTGGAGACTTGTTCCTTCTCGAATCCTACACCTTTTCCGGCGCGGAAACGGTAAGTGCGGCGTGTTCCTTGGTCGTCGAGCAGCGTGTAAGTTCCCTGGACGTTCCCGTCGGCGTCGGCTGACTCTGAGCGAGAGTATTGGTCCGAGTCGAAGGCGAAGCTGTAGGAGGCATCAGCGTTGGTGTCTGCGAGAGGGTCGACGAAGGGAGTTTGTCGTACTGGAACAATCCTCCCAGTTGGCTGACCGGATGGTGCCCCGGGAACCTCAGGTCCTACGGGAATGTGAGCTCCTTCAGCAATGAATCCCGTATCAGATCCAGCTTCATAGCTGATAGCTCTTGATTGGCCGTCATCTGCTACAAAGGCGAAGTTGCCGTCAACATTGTTATCTGCGTCGCCAGACTCTGCTCGGGAGTGAGTGGGAGTCTGGTAG